CATATAGCTGAAATTTCTTTTCTACTCTTTGAATTTAAGAAGAAAGAAAAATATAAGGATGTTGTTGAAACAATGCAAGCAGAATTCAAAAAATATTTCTTTTCAATTCCTCCTATTTTACTTAATTGGTGTTGTTTTAAACCCTTCTATTAAGATGTCTAATTGTCACCAATTAATCAATGCTTTATATACTTATATGGAGATTGNTTATTATGCAAATATAATGGATGATGCTACTATTAATGTAGGCAATGTTAATCTCACTATGCATTGTACTACTTCTACTGCATCTGCCACTATGGATGAAGATGAAGGCTTTGATGGTTATAATATTTGATCTACATTTCCTTCCACCCAAACCAGTAGCAGGAACATTGATGAACTTCAATTCTACTTGCAAAAGCAAATAGAGCCTTGCACAAAGAAATTTTTACTGTTGAGATGGTGGCATGAGAATGAAAAGCAATTTCCATTTCTTTCCGATGTGGCTCGGGACGTGCTAAATGAGCCAATTTCAACGGTTGCATCAGAGAGTGCATTTAGTCAAGCAAGACAACAATTAGGAGACACCCGTCACTTATTGGGAAGCAATGCTTTGGAAGTTTTAGTATGTTTCAGAGATTGGATCAGATCGGAACGAAGAAATCAGGGACGTTAAGATGTTGATAAAACAAAAGACAAGAAACTTGGAGATATATTAACACATGGTAACCCATCTGAATTTAACACTCCAGAAGATGGACAAGAAGTTCATATTGATTATGAAGAACTTACTAAGGCAATGCAAAACCTTTGAAGTTCTTGATTTATACTTAATAATTAAAATTTAAATTTACTATTTTTTCTTTAATTTAGTTGTTGTAAAATGTAAACTTTAATTTGCAAGTTTGAATTAAAAAAAGAACTTGTAAATTATAAGTTAAATCTTTTTCCATCTTCATTGTATTATCTTAAATTCTTAATGAAATATTCAAATATAAGGCTTTTAAAGCCTTTGAAATTTATTCAAACACTCTGTTTATAAGATTGTTTTTATATTTTATATTTTTACTTTATCTTAATATAAATTACGATAGTTATACAAAATACATAATAACAAAAAAAACCGGCTCGGGCCCTTAGGCCCGGAACCGTTCCGATTCAAATTTTTGCCGACCAGGCACAGAACCGGTAATTGGCCCGGTACGGAGACCGGTCGGTCTCCTTTTCCAATAACCTGGCCCGGCCCCTTGACACCCATAGGGCGAACTATCTAGACCTCACTACTAATTAGTAGTTTTTTTTTTACTCCTGCAAATAGCACTTTATATTTAGAGGAAGTTCAATGCATTCAGGTTAAAAGTGAAACTGAAAATAAAACATTAACGTCGAGACTTATAATGTACTAGATTACTTTTGCCCGTGCTTACACACTGGCCCAACAATATAATTCTGTCGAAGTTCATTTATCCTCCGCTTATGAATTTATTTCTTGTTTAAATTTTTTATTTCAAATTCAACTAACAAAGCTAAGAGCTTTATATATAATGTTTTTAGAGCAATAAAAATAATCATGGGAGCAGATATATATATTTTTTTATATTATCAACTTGTTGGCATCTTAAGACAAGATCTAGAGAAGATAGGATACAAAAAAGTGAGGAAATTGACACAAACCTCTTTAAGACAGCTTATTTTATTTTATTTTTAAAATTAAATATTCTCAAAAAAAAAAAAAACTTGAATAGTATTGTGGATTTTCTTGCTCATTCTTGGTTCTGTCTCGCTTTTTTAGATAGATAATTTAATTATTATGTTGACAAAGTTTTATTTAAATTTGTTGCTCGATAAATATTAAAAGAATTTCAGCATTCTATATTTTCAAGGTTCATTCTTATTCATTCTCATTTTATTTAAGACGAGATCTAGAAAAGATAGGATACAAGAAAGTGAGGAAATTAACACAAACCTCTTTAAGACAGCCTATTTTATTTTTTAAATTAAAATTTCTAAAAATTAAAAAAAAATCTTGAATTAGTATTGTGAATTTTCTTGCTCATTCTTCGTTCTATCTCGCTTTTTTAGATAGATAATTTAATTATTATGTTAACAAAGTCTTATTTCAATTTGTTGCTCTTGCAAGGTTCATTCCTATTCATTCTCATTTTAATGGTATTTTGAAACATTATTTTTTCCCATTAACTTTGTCTTGCTTACTTGAGCGTAGCTACAAGCTATGGACGCTTAATACCTTTTTTGTGCACTTAATTTATCTTATTTATATTTATTTTGATAGAAAGATAAGCTTAGTTAATACAAATTTAACTGCCAAGTAAACGTTAATTTATTATATTTTTATTTACTTTCTCCCTTCTTTATTCTTCACATCTCATTGGCAGATTTGTTTGGAAATCTTTTCAAAAATTTGAAACAGACAAAAAGACTTTCAAATGACATCTAACTCTGCAATGAAAAAAATTAAACAAAGAATATAATCAGAAAAAAATAGTTTTTTGCAAATTATTTTTCTTCAACTTGATTAAACCAAACTACTTCGGAAATATTGTGCAGGTGTTTTAGTAAACAAAATTGTATTTGATACAATTGCTATTTAAAGAGCTTTTAAAATTGAAGTTACCAAGTTAACCATAGTAAAAGATATTACAAAATAATTTAATAAATCTTTTCCTGTAAAATGATTTGGTTCTTGAAAAAAAAAAGAATTTTTGTTGAAATAAGTTAACATCGATAACTTTATTGTGCACTAATTTTCAAGTAAATATTCAATACCAAATAATATAGTTGTAGTATATGATAGAATAAATCCTAGAGAAATATAGAAAAATCAATTACCACAATATATAATTGTAGTTTTTGATATACAAAATTAGTCCCTGAAAATTTTAATACAGTTTGATAGTGGGACAGTTTTGGAAGTAGCATGAATATATATACAAAATAATTATTTTACGTTTAAAAGTGTTTTTTATTTGCCTGATGCACCATTTTATTTAGACATAAAATTTGAACATGGTTGAAGGCTAGCAATGATTTAGAACATCTTAAATTTACTATAATGACATGAGTTAAATACAACATATTTACTACGATGTAAACTAAATAGTCACATTTGTATGGAAAAGGTTAAACTAAAAACAACTAAGAACACAACAACAAATGTTTAAAGAGCTACAATAAAGTTATGTGTAAACTGTAAAATGGAGAAATCAGCGGGATTATAGGACTTGGAACGTGTGACAAGGGAAGTTTGTGAACTTTTTAGAGCCCCTTTCGATATAAGAAATTTTTCACTTTTTTTTAATAAGCGTTTGTTCATAAAATTTTCAATTTTCACTTGAAGATGCATTTTGAAAATTTTCGAAAATTTGAAAAACTCCAAAAAGCTGTTTTTTAAAATTTTCACTCAAATCACTCACAAAACTTCAAAAACAACCCAAAATTATATTCATGTCCAAACACAATTCTAAATTTCAAAATATCATTTTCAGTTGAAAAATATTTTCCCCTATTTTGGAATTTTATAATTCTTATGTCCAAAAGCCCACTTAGTACTCTTCTTGGACGTCATTCCCTCTGACAAAATATAGCAACGTGGCCGTAAAAATTGCACGGGGCATCCTATTTGGTCGTCCCCTTTTAACTTATACCCGTTTTATTTTTCCGTTTGCATCCGTACCCTATTTTTTTGTTAAAAGCATTTTAAAAAGACTATTTTGCCCTTCAGGATTATTGACAAAAATATAGACTGCAGGACAACACTTCAGCATGTTTTTGGCATGAAATTTTAGCAAATGAACTAAATAACTTAAGCATGTTTAGTCTGAAGTTTTAGCAAATGAACTAAATAACTTCAGCATGCATTAGCAAAAACTCATTAGAAAATTACATATTGCAAGACAAAAACTTAAGCATATTTAGTCTGAAGTTTTCGTAAATGAACTAAATAACTTGAGCATGCTTAAATTGAAGTTTTAGCAAATGAACTAAATAACTTCAGCATGTTTAGTCTAAAGTTTTAGCAAATGAACTAAATAACTTCAGCATGTTTAGACTGAAGTTTTGGATAAAAATTCATTAGCATGAAGTTTTAGCTTCAATGTAAAACAACACTGAAGTTTTACACCATCTCGCATGCTAATGAATAACCCCTGGTACTGTAAAACAACGTCATCTCCAAACGTTAGCATGTTGCTACGTTTATCATGGCTTGTTTTACAGTATGCTAATGCGAATGAGGTCATCTCCAAAGTAGCATGCTAATGCTAATACTATCAGAGGTGTAATTGTCATATTATTACGAATTTTTTGTCAACTGGCTACCAAATCAATAATTTTTAAAAATAGGATACATGTTAAAAGGTTGCACAAATATAGGGTACGGCTGCAAATCCTCCAACGTGGCCACAGATTCAGTAGTCCCAGCAAAATTAAAGCAGAACGTTGGCCTTCAAAGGGTAAGAATGTCTGCACACAAAAAATGTAACAGAGTAACTACCCTAGCTAACTAACGTGGACCTAGTCAGAAAAATTCTTTCACTCATAATTACCAATATGTCCCTACTTTTCAAGCAGGCATATCAACGAACACTTCTTATATAGGAGAATTCTAGTGGTACCGTCAAAGTCTTAACACACGAGTTAAATTCTCATTTTCCCTTCTCTGTCATCGGTTCCCCTGTGTAATTAAAAAGAAATTTTATAAAAGGATAACTAATGATGAGTTCTTAAAAATAAAGTAAAAATTCGCACACGTCAGTCCTGTAAGAACGCACCAACAGTCCACAAAGCAATAAACTAAACGTACTTTGCTTCTCATTTTAGTCACTACCAAAACGTCATTCTCAACGCACTAATGAAGAGCGATTCCAGCCTTAGCACATTGAAGATAGTTGATAAGGTCCGACCCCAAGTATCAGAAAATCTAACAAATCAATTGCACGTTAAGATAACTCTTTGACCACCTCAATCTTGACTGCAAGATAAAGAGACCAGACAATCCATAAAATAATAATAAAAACAATAAATAAAGTAAAAAATAAAAAAAAATCAGTAGACGGCTACAGAGGATTATAACCACAAATCTATTGAACTATTTCAAATTCAGCACCAATTGGAAGATGATCGCTAGGATGATAATAATTTGGTAGACCACCTTGTACATCTGAGGCTTCAGGCTCTGGAAGTTCGAGGTAGCTGACTGGTTTGATATCCCCTGAAGGAGAGAATAGTATGTAATCTAGAGTTCCAGTAAATCCAGGAGTGCAGTTCGTGAAGTGTGGTTCTCCCTTAGTGCTTGCATATACACTGCACAATGAAACCGGCATATCATCTGAGCTCTCTGGCAGAGTCCCCACTAGTGAGGAACCTGAAATAAGGTACTGATATACCTGAAACAGCAAGAACCAAAACCAATTTACATGAGACACCAATTGCTTTCACTTTCGGCAAAAACAACTCAGAACAATATTTTTCATCAAAAAAATCCAGGTACACCTTGAATAATCGTCAATGAAAATAACAAATACTGAATCCAAAAGTTGAAGTGACTCTACTTGGACACCAAACATCAAAGTAAACCAAAAATGAGACTCTGCTCGAATATCAAGACGACAAGAGAAAGTAGTTCGCGTGTGTATTCCAAGTTGACATGACTACTGACTAATAGTCTAATGTAGACAAGTTAGACAAACTAGGTACCAACTTTTGAAAGTTGGATAAGTTTAGGACATCTCAATCATTTATGAAGTCTGGAGAGCCAGAAGCTAGACAAACTGTAATACGAATTCTCACATTGGTTGACAGTAGTGTTGTGAAAAGCGCTCGCTTCAGCGCTTAAAGCGCGAAGCGAGGCGGGCACATGGTCGCTTCTGTGTTGTGAAGCGTAGCAGGTGATATGAAGTGCGCTTCTGCCAAAAAAGCGAGAAGCGCGACTAAAGCAAGAGGCGACAGTAGCAAGCACTTCATTATATTAAGTGGCTGCCAACGTTAATTAAATAAAAAAACTGTCTTTTTTCAAAACATCATCTAGCAGCAGAGAAAAACAACGACCAGAGTTCCCTTTTTCAGCACTTTTCAAGTTCAATTTCATTAAGTTCAAGCCCAGGTATGTGATTTCTTTTTCCTCCTTCTCCTTCTTCTTCTTCTTCTTCTTCTTCTTCTTCTTCTTCTTCTTCTTCTTCTTCTTCTTCTTCTTCTTTTTCATTTTCTTTCACTGTTTCAGCCTCAAAATAGCAGGGAAATGCTGCCAAATTTTTTTATTTTTCCTTCAGTTCTTTTCTCATTCTCCTCTTCTTCTTTCACTGTTTCAGTCTTAAATTGCAGCGAAATGCTGCCCAATATTTTTCTTACTTACTGCCTTCTTTTTTGTTTCAGTTCTTCTTAGTTCTTACTGCCTTTTTTTTTGTTTCAATATTTATTTTAATATTTTTTTAAAAATTCTGCTTCACTTCAAAAAAGCGAGCTCTTCGCTTCTCACTTCACGCTTTAAGCGAACAGGGGCTTGTCGACTTTCCTCGCTTCACGCTCTTTACAACACTGGTTGACAGTGGGTTGTTGTCTCCTTATACGGTTCTTGGAATCCTCATCTCATGAGTTAGTTTTTGGAGTTGACTTTGGCCCAAGATCTATTTTTCTTTACATGGTAGCAGAGCCAAACCCATCTATCATATTTTGTTTCTTAATGTTATGGTATGTTGTCCACTCTCCAGTATGTCTATGCATAAGGAGGGTGTTAGAGTGTCCCAAATTGAGTGAGGAAATTCATTGTTGTCTCCACATTGACGTTGGATAATCCTCACCTCAAGAGTTAACTTTTGAGATTGAGTTAGGCTCAAGGTCAATTTTCTTAACTGGAAAAAGAATCCCTACTAAAAAGATATGAGGAAATCAAATAAAATGAATGCAGCTTATATAGAGTAAGTCAGTGTCGTTCAATAAAAATGCGAAAGGACCAAATGTTTTCGAAAGGAAAACGGTAGACTAGCTGACCTGATCCCCAGGAGTGGAGTTGAAATCACCGGCAACAACCATAGAAGGCGAGCAATCAAATTTGTCTGATACTAGTAACTTGAATTGAGCCAAGCGTGAAAGCAAGTATCTAGCTTGTGCAAGTTTGACATCGGCCAATTCTGGATCCCTGTAGTATCATTAATATATGCTAACAGTGTATAAAGTTAAGAAATTAAAAATCCAGTTTCCACAAATCCAAGTAAACGTGCTGCAATACCAAAAGATTGGATAATGGGCATACCAGTAAATGTGAGTGTTGGAGACAATGATAAGCTGACAAGGATCCTTCAGCCTGAAGGCAGCCATAATACCCACACAGTCACGTTTTAATCTAACACGAGGATCATTTAGGTCTCCACGATCTGCTCGACTGTTTTTCAAACTGACATCTGAAATTGGAATGAGAAAGATCACAGTTACAAAGGTTATTGGATTATGAAGCTTAAAGCACCCATTCCCACCAAATTTGTGCATTGAGGAGCAACGATGAATCCGTTCCCTATCACCTCACAACACCTTATTCACCTCTCTAAAATGAGATGTGTAAAAAAAAAACCCTTTTAAGTTTCAAAATTTCAAGTCATTTGATTTTGAAAGAGCTGATTCTGTTTGACTATGAAGTTTCCTTCAGAGCCTATTCGAAAATGCACTGCTGCTTTAGGTCCAATATTCACCTCTCTAAAATGAGATGTGTAAAAAACTCCCCCTTTTAAGTTTCAAAATTTCAAGTCATTTGATTTTGAAAGAGCTGATTCTGTTTGACTATGAAGTTTCCTTCAGAGCCTATTCGAAAATGCACTGCTGCTTTAGGTCCAATATTCACCTCTCTAAAATGAGATGTGTAAAAAACTCCCCCTTTTAAGTTTCAAAATTTCAAGTCATTTGATTTTGAAAGAGCTGATTCTGTTTGACTATGAAGTTTCCTTCAGAGCCTATTCGAAAATGCACTGCTGCTTTAGGTCCAATATTGATTCTTCATACTGCCGAGAGTTGAAAAAATATGACGCAGGGGCACATTAGGATGGAAAAGGCTATCCATGCAACAGATACTCAGAATCTACAATTGCTAGTAACTAGATAATTTGCCGTGGCAACTAGCAAGATCCCCATGCTACACAATGCACCAGAATTTGGCCATTCCAAAAACCAAATCACACACTATTGGTGCTGGTTTCAGCCATGGATGCTTCTTTTACCATGGGCATCTTTCCTTACAAAACCCTCAAGTCAAACATAAATATGACTCTTCCGTCACAAATCGCCTGTTGCTACCAAAACTTACTTTAACGTATGATCAAACACAAAAGGTTTTAATTATTTTAACAATTAAGAAAGAAGATAAAAATGGATGCAAATGCCAATCAAGGTTTCTGAATAGGATATGAAAGCCTCACTTATATTGCTCTGATAACAAGTTACATGATACATCAGAGCTTGCTATGAAGTTTCTATTAGTTGATAGAGATTGAGTCGCTACATTAAATTAGAGGCAGACTGTTGAAGACATAATTAAATAAATAAAAGTGTGTTCTCTAACAGCTTAAGCTTTTAGATGAGATAGTCACACATTTCAACGTGGTATTAGAGCAGGCAGAGGTCCTGAGTTCGAGTCTCACCGCCACCCAATATGAAAAAGAATTTCCACATGCCTGGCTCATAAAAAAAGAATCAAGCCCGCACGCGAAGGGGCGTGTTGAAGACATAATTAAATAAATAAAAGTGTGTTCTCTCTAACAGCTTAAGCTTTTAGATGAGATGGTTACACAATTCAACACAAACAATGACAGGTCAACTTTCAAGTTCCAACGGTATTCCATTATTGAGTTTCTGAAGGTAATAAGTACTATTTCAGCTTTTCAAGAATCAAGAGACCCGGTTCCATAAATAGAAAACTTTTAATTATAATTGTACAAGAATCTTTGGATCTTATTGCAACTAGGCAATTCAAATTCTTTCCGCCTCTTTTATTATGATAAAAAGCCTTAGGCATGAAAGTTAAACATACATCAATTGTTTGAAGGCAAATAGCTATAACTGCAGTACTAAACCAGCCCACATCCACCCCCAAAAGAAAAAAGACAAAAAGAGATAGGAAGAAGAGGAATCGCTTTAATTTGCAATTTCATTAGAATGACGTTGGACAGAGATTTTATTTTAGCAGTTTACAGTGTAAAGACATGTTTTGTGACAATGTTTTACCAGAGCATGCTCCAAACGTGTAAAGACAAACACGAGGTGAGCAAAAGCAAGGGAATACCACCTTTTGACTCTAACTTTTTACTTCCACCAGCAGGTAAATTTGCCTCTTTATCCACAGAAGCAGTATCATCTTGAATTGAGGGTACAAGATCATTGTAGTCTATCTTCTCTTCAATGACCAACTCTGCACTATTAGAATAGCATAGAATTTCAGATAAAATGAGTTTTACAGAAATATTTTATTCTCCCTGAAGAAGTTATAGAAGCATATCCATCCAAACCATAAGAACTTCTGATATAGAACTTCCTCAGTCCTTAACTGATGCTACGATATAGCTTTAGCATGATACAGACTAGGGAGTAACTTAAGCTATTGGGGTGGTGGGAGTAAGAGGAAATGACGTGAAATAAAATGTAGTTATTTGCAGTATTACTCATATATTGGCTCCCTTGAAGTTTCCAGGATATAACATCAAAGCTTTATTTAAAAGAACATATACCTAATCAGCTTATTTTCTTAGCTGGAAAGCAGTGCATGATCATGTCATGGAACTGTCAAAAACAATGGTTTATAATATGACCAGCAAGTCTCCTCAAATAATGCAAATCATCTCATCGCTTAGCTTAGCATTTCTTTTAATTATAGAGGTTAAGAAAAGAGAGCTTAGATCACCAATCCTGCTTATAAAAGATCCCGCATCCGTCACGCTTCTGCCCACTTCTTTGGGCGTAGATACTTGAATAACCAACACTCTCTATATTTCTTTTATAGAAGCTATCATATTCATCCAATTCCTGGCACATAAAACAATTGATTAAAAGATAACCTAGAAGAAATTAGAAGTTGTTGGGAGAAGGAAAATGGATGAACAGATGTTGCTCAATCTTAATTATCAAACAATTAAAACCTGTAAGCAAAGGAAATCGGCCCCGAGGCTCTTGAGAACTGTCAGTATTGCCTGTGAACGGGCTTTCCACCTGACACAAGCACATAAGATATGTTGATTCAGAAATTTTTAGTAAAAGAAAGAAGTTTAAAACTTTGTCTCAACCGAAGCTTATTGAATCATTGTCAACATGACTTCAAGTTACAATGCTTTTAAAAGAAATTTTACATTAGATGTTCTTCGAATAGTAGAAGAGCAAACAAGTAAAATTGACTTAAACAACTATGTATCTTTCAATTGAGACTAGCTTAGAGAATTACTGAAATCCAATACAAGTCATATGCTCTTGACTCCAAGTCTCGAAGCCTTTCTCGGATAGTCTTGAAGGCATAGGAGAATCCAGGAGTTGAGTTATATGTGTTCAACCTTTAAGATTCTTAGAACCAAAACCATTGTATTTCTAAAATTATGGGTTCAAATTTACTATTTATTATAATTTTAGTGAATTTTTATGCATAAATTTATGCTCCGCGTCGAAAGTACTAGGTTCAAATGAACATGGTGCAGCAATGTTGCATCCGCCTCTGCTTGAAGGCTAGGAATATAATAATGTAATGCAACATGAAGCAATCAGATCGGAGTTTTAGCTATTTTTCGTAGAGGAATGCACTATAAACAAGTCAATTTGGGTCCACTCTAACATGACATCAATCACATTGGAGTTTCCATGGGAGAAGCGAAACAATATCCAATAGACTGTGAATAGGAAATGCAAAAAGGAAAACTTGGATATAGATGACGTACTTGAGACAAGGCGCTGGGGAGTGTGGAAACAGAGCACTCTTTACATATGCCTACGATTTAAAAAACGCAATAGCATGAAACATTGGCAAACAGAATCCATACAGGCCAACAGGTTAAATGACTTGAATCCGTAAGAACAACTAAAACAGACTAGCATTTCAGAATACAAGTGTCGAGGTATGAGATAATATCACTTGAATTTCGCACTATAGTTCAAAATACAAATCAAGACATACCAAGGATGTCAGTATACTTGATTAATTAACATCAAATGTGTGCATCCATCCTACCAGATATGTATGCTCTACTTAATATTATGGTCCAACCACACGCGAGCGGAGGAAGGCCTCAAATTCTTTTTGTTTGGATCAGATCACTCTCTGAGCTATGTTCACAAATTTCACAAGAATAGACTCACAAGATTAATTTGGTTGATGAATAAATACTCTGTTCACTTGGTTTTCAAAGTCAAAAGTATTTTATAGTGTATTAACCATAAGGATGCTAAATAATTTAAGAAAGCAGCACTTAACTTCCATAACTGAAATATTACCTGCGTGTACTTTATAAAAAGAATAAAAGTGAATCGCTTCAAGTAATTTGAACACGTAAGTCTGATTACCTGAGCCAAAATGTTATAGGATACAAAACTGAACCTAAAACCTGCAACAAAAGACAAAGAGTACAACACTAAATCCAGATGTATTACAAAAGCATACAAGCACGAAAAAGAAAGTTAAAATAATTTACTTACCATCTGATTTACTTACTGAAATAATTTCACTTGTTTCAACAGGAATAAATTTTGGAGACAAAGGTCCAGGTGCTGTGCTCATTTTGGTGAAACAAATTGTTCTGAAGATAGCACAAACCAAAAAAAAAAAAAAAAAAAAAAAATGAAGTCTTTAATCAATCTTAAAAGGAGATGATACATACGAACCCCCTATTTGGGCTCCGCTTACAAGTTACAACCACCCTAGAGTGCCTAGTGACATAAAGAGTGGTGTCAACTCCTGTGCAGAGCGTGGGAGCCAAAAAAAAAGGTGAAAACAGCTTATATGTGGCTTTCTCTTCCAACAACTAATTGCCACATACAATGACTATTTGTTCTAGCGGTGTAATATATTCTTCTTCTTTATTTCTCGCATTGTTTTCTTGTGTG